TATATATATATATATATATATATAAAACCAGACTCATCAAGCCCCATAAACAACTGCTGACTGGATCAGAAGAGCTCTTTGAATTAAAGATTTAAAGCCCTGAGTTCTCACACTTTCTTTTTTTAAAAACTGTATCAAAACCAGGTGTTAAGCCTATGGGTTACAGGAGTGTTAACAGTTCCATTATACGAAAATATGCGCTCATAAGCATACAGTAAACGATCAGAATTACAGCATTTTGGTGAATAACCAAGGACCATTCCTTGACATATTTGATACGGCTATAAGCAGCTTAAAGAGGTTGCTTTTATATAAAATCTGTATATATATGATTGTAATGATATGCAAAAGAAAATTAAAGTTGCATAATTATCCTATCTATTTTTCTTCAACCACAATATGTATTGAACCACTTGTACTTTGTATTAAATAAAGTAAAAACCTAATTAAAATGGAATGTTCTTATAGGCCAATCGGTGCCTTTCATTGTAACATAAGCTGCTTAAGGTTGTCGTGCAAGATGGTGTCTTTGACATCACGGAAGACGAGTCGAATGTTCTCTGTATTAATGGCGGTGGTGAAGTGATGGTAAAGGGGCTTCTGCTGCGGTTCACGACGCTTGTTACGGAAGCAATCAACCAGGAACTTCTGCACGTCCAGCAGATTATGGGGTTCCCCTGTGAACTCGGGGAAGTAGTCCTTGATGTTCACATTATTAACTTTTTCTTCCAGCAAGTCTGTCTTATTGAGGAAAAGAATGATGGAGACGTTGGCGAAGACGCGGTTGTTGACGATAGTCTCGAAGATACTGAGCGACTCTGTGAGCCGGTTGGTCTGACGGTCTTCCATGAGCACCTGATCGTATTCGCTGGATGAGACTAGGAAGAGGATGGAGGTCACAGAGTCGAAGCACTCGAACCATCGCTTGCGCTCTGACCGCTGCCCTCCCACATCCACCATCTTGAAAGGAACATTCTTGATCTCAAAGTCGTACTCATGAATACCCTTGGTGGGCTTTCGTGCCAGCAGTATATCCTTTTGGCTGGGCAAGTAGTCCTGCAGATTAAATGGAAACAAACATCAGACAGGCATAATGCTATAAGACCCTGAAACATTTATTAAAAATTTGTACATGTATTAGAGATGGGTGTTATGACCGTAGACACAATAAACCAATACATTTGTGAATTCTGTCTCTATCACAGTTATGCTCACATCACAATACAGTGCTACACTGTCACAACAGTTTATTTCCATGCTTTTAAGCCTTGCCAGTTTAAATGTTATTTTTAAGCTATTTTCAATTGTTCAAAGCCCAAAAATAAGAACTCAATTAGGTATTTGCATGCTGTCTGAGTGACGGTTTCTGTTCCCATAACACCAAAGTGCACACTCAGAAACCATCATACGAATACCAAATTGAGTTCTCTTTTGCAGCCTATTGTGCTTAAATAGTCAAATACTCAGAAAGGTTTGTCAAAATGTCTGTCTCGGCTAGTATTCACAAACACATTTGCCTGTCTTAAGTGAATATGAACAGTTGTTTTTTTTGTTTTTTTGCATGTGTCAATATATCGGATCCATGCATTAAAGGCACAATATGTAATTTTTTGCCACTAGAGGGCGCATATTCAAAACAAACAAAGGCGTAGTTAGATGACACCGTGACTGGGTGTGGAATCATGGGAGTTGTCTTCATCCCCACAGCCGAAGCAATCCGATGGGACTCAGGCAGAAATCATGTTCATGGATGAGCTAATGTATTAAAGATTTATTAACGTCATAGTATGAAGCAGAGTGAGGCGTAATCAAATTGTTATTCACATAGGCCGCTGAATGAGTGCAACACACGGCTTGAAAGCAGCGGAGCTTTTATTATGCCACA